AACTGTATAGGTTTGTGCCTTAGAGAGTACGACACACTAGCCTATATTCCCTTGTACTCTCTCATTCCAGTTATTCTAGCATTCTAACATGGTATCATGAGTAGGTTAGGTCTCGTTCGCCCACTAGCGCTTCCGCCTTAGGTCCTAGCCGCCCGTTCCCTTTAGCCGGCCCGTTTCCCCTAGCTGGCCCGTGCCCGTCCCGTAGCCGGCCCCGCGCCCGCCCCGTAGCCGGCCCTCGCGCCTGTCCCCTAGCCGGCCCCGCGCCCATCCTGTAGCTGCCCGCGCCTGTTCCGTAGCCGGCCCTGCGCCCACCCCGTAGCCATCGGTGCAAAGGTCTGAAAGAAGTCCACCCCTTCACGCTGACTGAAGCCTCTAGCCACGTAGCATGCCTTGAATACAAGCGGCTCTCCAGGGGGGCGCTTCACCTTGAAGAGCCAGCGGCCATCGACTATGTTCACCCTGGGTGGGGGAACTGCGTTGACGTAGGTGCTGGTGGATCTCCAAGATGCCATCTCCTGCTCCATGGCAGCTATCTACTGAGAGGCCTAGGGTCCCGAGGTGGCCTCAGAGTAGGTGCGCGGGGCTGGGATGTCGAAAGCGTCTGGATCACCCTCAGGTACTAGTAGCATGGAGCAGAGATGGGGAGCAGCCTCGGACAGGAAAGCAAGCTCGTACTGCCGATCCTCCAAGACGTCACTGCCGAGGGCAGGAGCACCCCCGATGGATGGAGGTCAGGCAGGGTCAGAGACCAGAGCGGTGGTGTAGTCAAGGCGGCGGGTAGAGGCGAAGTTAGCGGCAACAGCAACAAGAGTGTTAAGACGCGAAATAGGATTAGACGGGTCGGTAACAAGAGAGGCAAGGACCCGAGAAACTGTTATACTCACAATAGGCTTAGATGTGCCTATAATGAGAGATAGAGAGCACAGTCGGATTTCCGTCAGACGGCTTCAAATATTGATAACGATCTGGTCGCTGAATGAAACGGTGATCTATAAACAGGATCTAGAGCGCGTTGCTGTCGTCTATCAGCAGCAAGTTGAATCATGAAATTCCATGAAGATTTGACGACGCTATGGCGGTTTGACTGGCAGAAGGTATAGCAGCCAATATAGTCTTAGGAGTACAAACTTAGCAAGTAGAGTTCGAGAGGGAGATGGTTCCCAGCCTCTACATACCCCAAGAGCCGAGGTCCAGGTTGGTGGTACACCACCACAAAGTCCCCAACCATGAAGAGTCTTGAAACCAACCCTCCAAGGGGCTACACCAAGTGAAATGTAACACTACACGAAGTAACGTTACTATTTTCACTATTTAATATTTATCCGCGTCCCTTGGGCTTGAAATCTTGAGCTCTTGTTCTTGGATCTGCAAGATAAATTCTTCTTGAGTTGCTGGGGGCTTGCTGCACACACCTGCGACACGATGGACACTTCACACTCGACAAAATAGAAAAAACACATGCGACACACAAACGACGACTTGACATGCGAGTTGTAAAAACTCGCTTATGTCTTGACCGACACAAACCACATTGTGATACACCATTCAAACACACACACAAGCACTGGATAGCAATGACATAGACTCACAATTCATTCTATGCCATGCATGCACACACACAAACAAGGACGACAAGCCGAGTGCAAGCCATAGGGTTGCACCAACAGAAACAAGAGGACGAGCGGCATGAAGGTAGTCAGACAGAGGGGGAGGCGCGACAACAAGTGAGGACGAAGGAGGCAACGGCAGGAGGGGAGGACAAGACACGTGGGAACGAAGCAACATAGGGTGCGCATGCGGAACAGGGGAGAACGGACTATCACGAGAGGGATGGCGAGACCAGACGTGCGACGGGGGCGTCGGGTCAGGAGACAGTGGAGGAGACACAAGAGGGGAACAAGGGGGAAGACGAGCCAGAGAAGAGTCTGAAAGAGGGAACACACGGCCATAGATAGGAAGAGGATGGGACGGAAGAAGAGGCGCAGACGCGCGGTCAGGGGAGGGAAGGCCGAGCAGGCAGAGGGCGGACACCGGCGGCGACTGCTGCTGGTGCGGCTGCCCAATGCCGACACCTGGACCGCCAGCTGCTCCATGGCTACCTCCAGAACACTCCACTCCAGCATCCCCAGAAGGAACACCCCCAGAACCAGAGACCCTCTTAGTACCGGCACCATCCCTAGGCCCACGGGGACACGCCACGACAGGAACCTCGGGACAAGGACCCTCCTCAACACCAGCACCCCCAGAGGGCACGAACTGCTGCTTCGGCGGCGACAACGGCGGCTGGGGCTGTGACTGTGGAGGAGGAGACACTGGGGAGGGGGCAGGCGGCGAAGACAGTGCCGCAGGGCCACTAGAGTCAGCAGACTCCTCAACCGGGACAACCGACAGGAGGGGGGTGACGTGAGACACACCAGACGGGGCAGGGCGGGGAGGTGGGGAAGCAGGGGCGACCGAGGGAGGGGGAACCAGGAACAGGGGGGGAGTAACCGAGGGACCACGGTGGGGAAAACAATGGTAGAAGGAGACAGAATCGTCAAAGGTGACGTTACAAGAGTGAAGGAAACGGTGAGACGGCGGGTGGTGGAAGTGCCAGTCAAACGAGTCGAGGGGGAAACCTACGAAGACACAGGGGACGGTGCGGGCAGTGAGCTTGTCAGTGCCAGAGGCACGAACGTGAGCAAGGCAGGCCCATACATGGAACGCAGACGCGTCACCAGGAGACCCGGTCCAGAGGAGGGTCAGCAAAACTTGCGGCCGCTGAGGGTGCGACCATAGGTTAAGCTGGTGAGAGGCGAAGTGGATGGCGAACGACCACAGAAAAATGGGGTGCACCGGCATGGATAATGGAGGTACGAGCCACCTCCATGACCAAACCGATGCATCGCTCAGTGACCCCATTCTGCTGCAAAGAGTCTGGCAAGGTGAACGTTTGGGTGATGCCCTCCGCACGACAGAATCGCCCAAGGCAACTAGAGGCAAACTCGCCACCTCGGTCAGAGTGGAGACGCAACACAGGGAGAGCTCGGTGCACACGTGTAGAGACAAGCCACAGCATACGAACGTTAGGCACGTCGGCCTTCCACTCCTGGGGAAACACGGTGGTGTAACGAGTGTAGTTGTCAACAAGGACGATGAAGTAACGCTCACGACGCCGCCCATGGATGGGGGCAGGGCCCCAGACGTCCAAGTGCAAAGTCTGCAAGGGTGCGGTGGTGGGGGGGAACGAGGAGGTGTGAGGGGCACGGCGGAGTCGGCCCTCGACGCAGGGGGTGCACGGCGGCGCGGGTGAGGAGGGGAGCGCGGGGAATGACCCAGGGGGACCTAGAACAAGACCATGCTGAGACATATGACGAAGGCGAGGGAGGGCAGGGTGACCTAGGCGGTGGTGCCACAGTAGTGTCAAGTGAATAAGCGACCGATACGAGCAAGCATCAGCTACTTGATGAGACACAGTCACCTGGGGAGACGTCACATCCGGGGGGGGCACAGTGTCCAGCGGTACTGTGCCGAAGAAGCGAAAGAGTAGCCTAGGCTAAACAAAGCAGGGGATCCTACGCTTGACGCAGTAGGGGAGTTTGAGCTAGTCATACCTACACAAGGCAACACTGGGTAAGCAGGAACCAATCACACTAGACTCATCAACATACAGCATATACAACGCATAACTAATCTCATCCATGTCCATATCAAAGATCTGAACACCCCGACAGAGCAAGCTGAGCCAGTCGGGGAGGTCGGGTGACGGGCCGAAGCGAAGGCGAAATAGGTCGTCCAGGCGACTGAAACAACGGTTGGGGGTGTGACCGATCTTACCGCGCACGAGGCCACGGCGAGGACCGGTCTGGAGCTGGTGCTGGCAGCGCACGTCGCCCGAACCACCACCCGACGTCACGCCGCGCGCACGACTATCGCGACCGCCGCCACCACCAGCGTCGGGCCACCTGGGCGGGAGACGACCAACCCGCCGCTTCTGCTGCTGCGACGGCTGCGGCTACTGCTACGGCTGCTGCTGATCCAGTGACGGAACCTGCTGCTGCTGCTGCTGCTGAGACTGCTACTCGGCGGTGCCAAGCCCAGCGCCCTCATCAGCACCCCTAGCGAGCGACCCGGCTCCACCACCTCCTCCACCCCCACCGCCTCCATTGCCATCGCCGCGCCCAGCCTTGGGGCGGCGGCCCCTTCCCGGACGAAACTGCGCTACAGCGGCTGTCTCAACCACAGTAGCAGAGCCGTCAGAGAAAGTGCACCGAGCGGGCGCACAGCGTTGAAAGATAGAGACGGGCACAGTACCGCTGGACTGGGCGATAGAGCGCTGGCGGGTCTCTATGGCAGACAGGGTGTCGACAAAGTCAGTGAGGGTGAGGTCAATGGGTTGGAGACTAAGGAAATGATCGCGGGCAGTAGCAAGGCGGTCAGGGAGGCGGGTGGCAAGCAAGTAGAGGGTAGCGCAGAGGGGGGGCTGGAACACGCGGAGCGGGGCCTCAGTGCAGGCAGAGCGCCAGATCGAATTCAGCGTGCGCAAGTGGGTGCCTAGGTCAGCGACAGTGGGAAAAGGTGCGAGATCAGGAAAAATCAGGGGCAGGATCAGGCGACCGACAGAGGCAGAGGACGGGGTTGAATAGCGCGCAATAACAGCCTCTAGGAACTCATGCGCCGTCCTGACCGACCTAAAGCGGGGACGCTCAGACATGGGAAGGGCATGATTGATTGCGAGCTGTGCGACAGCATCACGCGACAACCAGACTGCACGGGCAAGGGCAGCAACGGCAGCAGACTCACGATCAGCAGACGTGGGGTCACCGGGCAGCGCAACAGGGGGGTTAGGGCAGGGGAGCGTACCGTCGTTGTGGACAGCCAAGGAGTGGCCGTTGTGAGAGTACGACCCCGTTACACCACTTGTCCCTTTTCTTATTTCCCTCCTCGTTCATTTCTCTTTATCTCATCTCATTTGGTTTCCTATTCTCCATTAACCTTTGGTTTATCCTGCTATTATAATTATATCACCGACCAGGCTTGGGATGTACTGGTGCGCTATATCTAGCGTAATCCTGCCGTAATCCCTTAAAGCCAATAGCCTCGCGTGGCTATACGCAGGGTGATTCTATCTTCTAGAAGGGTCTATTCCCTTAGGATAAGATAAACCTGGTTACCTGATGTACTTTGGAAGTATAAAAGCGCCTTGTACTGATCGATAGTGCAACCTTTCCTCGACACATTCGATCCTGTGACACTTGGTATCAGAGCTTTTCTCACTCGACCGCGCTCAGCTAAGCAGCAGCAGCGGGGATCCTGCCTAAAAAAACCGCCGGGGGCGACCAATTCGACGCCGATTCTGGTAAGCACCAGCTCCGCGATTTTCGAATTACCCCCTCCGTGCGTGTTTTGAACAGGATGGCAACATTCGACAACACCGAGGTTACCCAGCAGCTCTTCGCGCGCATCGCAGCCCTTCAGGAGGAAATGCGAGCGGATCGCGAAGCGTGGCGAAACCAGTTCGAGCGAGTAACTCGACTCGCCGGAGCGCAGCACGAGACGACAACGGCGACGACGCAGCAGTCGCAGCAGTTTCTCGAGGCTCCAAAACCGCGCCCACCTGAGCCGTTCGATCCGAGCGATCGAAACTCCGACGCCCGCAGATGGATCGCCGGGATGGAGATCTACTTCGCAGCCGTCGGATGGAGCTCGCCAGTCTGGGACGGACAACGTGTACGACTCGCGGCGACACTGATGCGAGGGCCGGCACTCGAGTGGATTGGCGGCAACAGTACTTTCATCCACGGTGAAGCCACGTGGCAGCAGTTCCGCACCGACCTGCTGAAACGCTTCGAACCGATAAATTCCAGTTTCCTTGCCCGGGAAAAAATTCATTGACACCGACAGTTCGAGAGTGTAGCGCAGTACATGCAGCAGATGGAGGAATTTTATAACAGCATTCCCGACCTGACCGAAGGGGAAAAAGTACAATCGTACCTCGCCGGGCTGAAGACCGAAGTCAAACGACAAGTCGCAGCGTCAAACTACGCGAGCTACAGTGACGTCGTTTCGGCAGCGGAGCGCTTCGACATGGTCAACGCCGGAACACGACGGACGCACGTCGGCAGTACGCGACAGGGCGACCGCTCGGCACACACCACGTTCGCCGACCCGATGGAGATCGACAGATTCGACGGGCGGCCACGTCCGAAAAACACCAACTACACGTGTGATTTTTGCGGGGTGCAGGGTCATCGAATCTTCGACTGCAGCAAAAAGAAGGCCGCACGCGCAGAGTATCGGGCACGCAACAGTGGCGGAATTCCTTCAGCCAATCAGAAGTAAAAAAACGGGAGTCGCCAGTGATTGCGGATCTAGCTGGCGAAAATAAAAAGATCCGAAAGCGGCCGCGGGATTCCGGGAAAATCAACTTCGACGAAGCTGATTCGACGCGAGAAGGAGGAAATGATGGGGGAAAATCTCCACCCCACGACCAGTCCTCACCAGGGAAAATCGCCGAGGAAAAATACGACTCCGAGAAAAAAGACTCTGCCGAGACAGGGAAACTCCTTGAAGACCCAAAAAATTATAAGAATTCGTTAAAGTTATCTTATAAAGATGCTTTAATGAAAACTAATGAATTTCGAGGGGCTAGAGCCTTGGAGAAATTTCGGGAGGGACTCCAAAAGAAGCAGACAGCTGTGGAGATTATACCGGTACCGGAAAACTTGGGGACCAAATTAAGGAGTGTGGAAAGAAGCCGACCTTTCCACGGAGTCAACGTCCTCTCCCAACACCAGCCCGCAACGACTACCCGTTCCCCAGGGAAGACGTCGGTGGAGCTGAAGCAGCTCAAGAGGAAGCTGGGGGTCTACAAGAAGCTGCACAAACCCCGAACTCCTCCTACGGATGCATCCAGTTCTTCGGCATCAGTGACGCGCACAGTCGTCAAAGAAACTCCGGGCCCTGGAGAAGAGCCGTTCTCCAAGCAGCCTCGGCCAGCTGCCAGCTCAGGAGTAGATAGCAACACAAAGGTGTGTACGGAGTATTGGGATGTACCCTATGACCCAATCAATGAAACTATCTTTGGGTACTCCGAGCAACGACTGCCTCTCGTGCTCGAGGTCATCTGCAAAGGACGACGCCTCCAAGCACTCGTGGACAGCGGAGCGTCACACACCGTCTGCAACAAGGCAGTAATCGACCGACTACGGGGAGAGTACAAACCTTCAGGATTCTCTGCAACGATGGTGGACGGCAGCAAGTTACCAGTATACGGCGAAGCAGTGCTACACCTACAAATCGGACCACTGCGCTGGAGACCTGCACTCCCCATCACCAACATCAAAGGGCTTGACCTGATCTTCGGGCGAGACTTCCTGAAAAGATTCAACCCCGAGATCAACTGGGTGAACCGCACCGCAAGCATCTACAACAATGGACGGAGAGTACAGCTACCCAACTGGGACGATACTGGAGATATCCCAGTGGAGACACTCGCACGATTCGAGAAGGACATGAAGCGGACCAACACCGGGTTCCTGGCGATAGCAACAGAGGTGGAGAATGACGGAGAGAAAGCCTCAGAAACTCCAGAAAAAATCAAGGAATTACTGAAGGAGTTCCAAGACATTCTTCCTGACGATCTTCCGAACGAGCTACCGCCATACCGAACGCATCAACACGAGATCGTGGAGGAACCGGGTTCGAAAACAACTTTCCGATCACCATACCGGCTCAGCCCTATGGAGCTGACTGGCATGAAAAAACAAATCGAGTATCTCCTAGCCAAAGGACTCATCCGGCCATCCACTTCACCATACGGTGCCCCAGTACTCTTCACCCCGAAACCGGACGGAAGCCTACGCATGTGCATCGACTACCGAGCTCTTAACAAACAGACCATCAAGAATAAATATCCGATACCGCGAATCGATGACCTGCTTGACCAGCTCCGGGGAGCTACGGTATTTTCCAAACTGGATCTGCGGTCCGGATACTGGCAGATACGGATGGCGGACAACTCTATCCACAAAACTGCTTTTCGAACTCGGTACGGATCGTACGAGTATTTGGTAATGCCGTTCGGACTCACCAACGCGCCGGCAACGTTCCAAGCCGAAATGAACCACATTCTACGACCACTTCTGGACGAATGCGTGGTGGTGTACCTAGACGACATACTCATCTACTCGCGCGACATGAAGCAGCATGTCGAACACCTGCGACGCGTCTTCGAAATTCTTCGACGGGAACGATTCTACGTCAAACTGTCCAAGAGCGAATTCGCCATTGAAAAAGTCCAGTTCCTAGGGCACATGGTGAGCGCTCAAGGAGTTCACGTCGACCCCAAGAAAATCGAGGCCGTACGCACGTGGAAGACACCCGAGAACGAGAAGGAGTTGCAGCAGTTCCTAGGCTTCGCTAATTACTACAACAGGTTCGTGCCACACTATGCGAAAATCGCAGCACCACTCACGAATCTGCTGCAGAAGAACACGCCCTATGAATGGGAACCAAAGCACCAGGAAGCCGTGGAGCAGCTGAAACAAGCACTCACGACCGCACCGGTACTCATCTTGCCAGATCCCGAACGCGACTACGTAATCGAAGCTGACGCCAGCGACCAGGCAGTGGGGGCAGTCTTAATGCAAGACCAGGGGAATGGACTGCAACCAATCACCTACCTCAGCAAGAAGCTACACGGAGCAGAACTAAACTACCCGATACACGACAAAGAGGCCCTTGCCATCGTCATCGCCTTTAAAGCGTGAAGATGTTATCTCGAAGGACGAAGAACAACCGTCTACACCGACCACTGCAGCCTGAAATACTTGAAGACACAACCCAATCTTTCCAGGCGGCAGGTCCGGTGGATCGACTTCCTCGAGACACACTTCCACTATGACATCGTGTACAAGCCCGGTCACAAAAACAAAGCAGACGCGCTTAGCCGGCCTGCACACGTTGCCGCCATTCAGATTGAAGGGATGAATCCACTACTCAAGGGACTCTTCACACACGGGTATGCCATCGACCCTGAAATTCCCTTGGCAGAAAAGCGACATCTGCTCCAGTGGGACAGTGACATCGCGTACCGGAAAGGATCACAAAAATCTGGGTACCCAATTACCCTCCTTTGCGCCAGTTACTACTCGAAGAATACCACGACGTCCTGTACGCCGGACACTTCGGTAGCAACAAGACGCTGACCGGTATCGCAAAGCACTACTACTGGCCCCACTTAGCAGAAGATGTCCAGAAATTCGTCACCTCGTGTGATACATGTCAGCGGATGAAGAGCAGCAAGCAGAAAAAGGCGGGACTACTGCAGCCTCTTCCTGTCCCAGAACAACCATGGCAAGTGGTCAGCCTCGACTTCATCACCGGGTTACCACCTACCACCAGCAGTCATGACGCCATCCTTGTCGTCATTGACAAGTTCTTCAAAATGGGACACTTCATCCCGACACACACGACGGCACGCACCGAGGAGACAGCACAGCTCTTCGTTCGTCACATCATCTCACAGCATGGCATCCCAACCACACTCATTTCCGACCGAGACCCCAAGTTCACCAGCAAGTTCTGGAAGGAACTTATGTCTCTTCTCGGGACCAAACTCGCCATGTCATCCGCATACCATCCGCAGACAGACGGACAGACCGAGCGCCTCAACCAAATTGTTGAGCAACTCCTCCGAGCAGCCTGCAAGGACGACATCTCCAAATGGGACTTTCACCTGCCCGTACTAGAGTTTGCTTACAACAATGCTACGCATGCCGCTACTGGACAGACGCCGTTCTTCCTCTGCTACGGACGCCACCCACTCACACCACAGAAACCAACAACATCCGCTACAGTACAACCTGCACATGATTTCATCACAACCATGCATCAGCTTTGGGATCGGACCCATAAGCGCCTCCTCGACATTCAACAGCAACAAAAACGCCAGGCCGATCGCCATCGCAACGACCACACCATCACGGTGGGAGACCAAGTGCTTCTTTTCACCCGCAACCTGGACATCAGCCACCTCCCATCTAAACTTCGACCTCGCTTTTGCGGGCCTTTTCTCGTTGACGCACAGGTCACCCCTGTTACCTTCCGCTTACGCCTGCCAGCTACCTGGAAGATTCACAACGCCTTCCATGTCCAACTTCTGAAGCCCTACCGGGATCCGAACACGATCTTCGTCGGACGCCAACCACCGCCGCCGCCGCCCGTCCTCGTCCACAATGAACCGGAGTACGAGGTCGAGTCCGTGCTAGCACACCGCCGACGTCGGAATGGCACCATGGAGCTTCTCATCCGTTGGAAGGGTTATGATTCTTCTGAGGACAGCTGGGTCCCTGAGTCCGACATGGGTAACGCCCGTCGCCCTCTGCATGACTACCTTGTCAAGCAGGGTGTTACTTCTACCACCCAGCTTTGAGGGGGGGAAGTGTGAGAGTACGACCCCGTTACACCACTTGTCCCTTTTCTTATTTCCCTCCTCGTTCATTTCTCTTTATCTCATCTCATTTGGTTTCCTATTCTCCATTAACCTTTGGTTTATCCTGCTATTATAATTATATCACCGACCAGGCTTGGGATGTACTGGTGCGCTATATCTAGCGTAATCCTGCCGTAATCCCTTAAAGCCAATAGCCTCGCGTGGCTATACGCAGGGTGATTCTATCTTCTAGAAGGGTCTATTCCCTTAGGATAAGATAAACCTGGTTACCTGATGTACTTTGGAAGTATAAAAGCGCCTTGTACTGATCGATAGTGCAAACTTTCCTCGACACATTCGATCCTGTGACAGCCGTCCTGCCGCTGGCCAGTGAGCTGACGGCGGAGGTCGACGAGCCACGTGTCGAACTTGATCGGCTGACCCTCCGCGTCAAAGCGTAACACAGAGTCCGCCATCATGAGCGATGCAGCGGCGGTGCAGTGCAGGACAGCGCAGTGCTTGGCGGTGCAGGGCGGTATAGTGCAGGGCAGCGCGGTGCAGTGCGGTGCAGCGCAGTGCAGGGGTCGGTTGCACGTCAGGGGCGGCTGGGCGACGGGGAGGGGCGTGCAGAGTGACGCGAGCCAACCACGGGACGGGCGCAGGCCAGCAATGGAACGGGCGTGGGCTAGTTGCGAGACGGGCGCGGGGCCGGCTACGGGGCGGGCGCGGGCCGGTGACGGGACGGGCGCGGGCCGGCTACTGGACAGGCGCAGGGCCGGCGACAAGGCGGGTGCAGGCCGGCTACGGGACGAGCGCGGGGCGGGCTACGGCACAGGCGCAAGGGCCGGCTACGAGTCGAGCGTGGGGCGGCTACGGGACGGGCGCGGGCCGGCTACGGGACGGGTGCGGGCCGGCTATGGGATGGGCGCGGGGCTGGCTATGGGACGGGCGTGAGGGCCGGCTACTGGGCGGGCACGAGGGCCGACTACGGGACGGGCGCGTGGCCGGCTACGGGTCGGGCGCGGGCCGGCTACGGGACGGGCGCGGGGCCGGCTACGAGACGGGCGCGAGGTCCGGGTACGGGGCGGGCGTGGGGCCGGCTACGGGACGGGCGCGGGCCGGCTAGGGGGAATGGGCCAGCTAAAGACCTAGGGCGGAAGCGCTGGTGGGCAAACGGGATCTAACCTACTCATGATACCATGTTAGAATGCTAGTATGAGTAGAATGAGAGGGTACAAGGGAATATAGGCTAGTGTGTCGTACTCTCTAAGGCACAAACCTATACAGTCTACAATAACATACTAAGTTATGTTTTGACACATAGCACAACACAAAACCTCCCTGTATGGCTCAATCTAGTTCATTGCGTTACTCTAACACATACTTCCATAGAGAGTACAAAAATTTATGCCCCATTCTAGCCAATTCATTACCTTGAGGGGAGAGCTATGTAAAAAGGGCTCAATGGTGTTATGAGAATTTTTTTTGTAATGAAAATTTTACAGATTGTGATTCGACTAGAAGAGGAGTTTGCTGTAAAGGAGACAAACTCCTTCATCCATCGGCAGGTCTTTCAGACCTGCCACCTAGTCTCATTTGCATTTTTCTATTCCAACTTGCATACCACCAGCACACTCTAAACCTCTCTTATGCCCAGATCTGGGCATAGGAGTCTCTTGCTGCAAGAGGTTTTTTCTGTTAGATTTTCTACAATGGTCAGCGGACTTATTTCCGCTGCAAGTGGTAGGCCTCCCGCTCCTCGCGTGAATACTAGGAGTGGTGGAAGGCGTGGGTCCCCTGTACGTGAGGGGGACCTAAACTCTTCCTCTCAGCATAGAGAACGCTCTCGTTCTCCTCGTCCTGGCGGAGGTAACGGCGCCGTTACCGCTTTGGATTTGCTGAGTGGCGCGCGTCAAGACCCTGTTCAGCACGTCGAAAACGCGGCGGGGGACGCGGATCGTAACACGTCACGCAATCGCGACTTCCCCCCCGGATTTCAAGGCGAGCGGCGTAACGAGCAGAACCGTGTCGACACGAACCCGCCTGCCGAAAATGCCCCGTCACGCACCCCACCTACCGAACGCAATCATGACGGTCCTGCGCGCGAGGACCACAATCATGATAGTGATCCTGCGCGCGCAGGGCGTCATCATGAGCGCGATCTCAACGCCCCAGTGCCCCAGATTCGCCAGGATCGCCAGAATCGGGACCGGGATCGCGCAGATCGCCGGACGGATTTTCCCCCTGCTGCAGCGAATCCGCGCGAAAATCCGCAGATCTCGACCCCTGGAGCAGCAGAAATCGCCGAAATGATTGCGCGCCTGGATCCTGCAGCCCAGCGCAATCTTCAGCGAATCTTCACAGGAGCTGCTGCTGGCGAACGCGTTACAGCACGCTCCACTGCATCCACAGCGCCTCAGAAAATAATGTTTACGCCGGCACCAACAATGAGGCCATTCACCACGTTCTTGGTCTTCTTGCGGTGCTCCAGCGTGGCAATGGCGCCGATCCAGCACCGCCTCCGGAACTAGCACGCGTCGCAGTGGCGGCAGCCCCACGCTCTCGCCTCCCGGCGCCAGCCCCTGAGCCCGTGGACGACGAAATGGACGAGGAAGCACCCCATGCCACGCTCGACGAAGGTAATGCTGCCCGCCCAAAATCCGCTTCTGCAGCGCTCGCCCTTGCTCCTATTCCACCTGCACGTCCTCAGTTGCGCTCTTCCTTAGTTAAAAGCGATGGCATTCGTACGCAACTTTTTAGTTTTGAGCGTATTCAAGCTATTGCACGTCATGCTATCTCGGTTTTACCACCTGATGGTGGTGAACAAGCCGCCGACTATCTCCAGCAGATAGTAGAGGAGGCGGAAGAAAAGATTCATTTTTTGTTTACCGCCGATCAACGCGGTTTTGAAGTGGCCACTATGGCCCTTAAGATTAAGTACGGGGAAGTGGTAGAGGATAAGAATGTCAAGGCTGCTTCTCAGATAGTTGCGGCTAGCAAGAAGAGGCCCACTCGGCCCACCCATTCCACATCCCGTCCTGAACCCCCTCTTCGCCCTCGAGGCCAAGGGGAGCGCCTTTGGAACACATGGCGTAGGGACGGCGACGGCCGTTGTTTCTATTGTCGTGAACCCGGGCATGGGATGGCTAATTGCCCCCAAAGGGGCCAAGGGGCCAATCGGCCGGCTAAGATTGTGTAAAGATTGTTTAACCTCTCCGATGTTGTAGCCTTCTTAATATATTATTATTTAAAAAAAAAAAAAAAAGACAACAACAACAACAACATACACACATATTCTTGCGCTCAAGTAAGATTAATACGCGCATCATACGACCACCATGGTCTCGCCCGTTGGGCCTGTGCAAGAAGACATGAACGTGCCCACAAGACGCTTACACAATGTGTGTGTGTCCTCTAAAGACTGCCGTTGATAAGACTCATGACAAGATTTCTATGTCATCACCATATATGACCACCAACTACAGCCCAGTATGCCAAGTTGACATGCCCAATCCAATGGTTAATTACTTAAGGGATGACGTGGCCGAAGAATAGCGAGCGAGTGGGCACCTATAATTAGCGTTTGCCTTCCTTCCCGACAAAAAAAAAAAAAAAAAAAAAAAAAACTCCCTTGTTGAGGTCGGAACTAAATGAGGTGAAGCACCTTCCTGACTCTCTACCATCCCTATTTGTGTTCCCTCTCCCACCAGAGCTCGGAACCATTTCGGCCTATGCCGATGACGCAACCAAGATTACCCGCATGCAAGGCCGCCTCCGTGACCGCGCTGCATAGTGGTCCCCCTGGTGCGACAGCCGCTTGATTCTATCGGTGATTACATCTGGATATCGCCTACCATGGGTTGCCTCTGAGCCCCCCCCGTCTCGTACTAAGAATCATGCCGGTGCCTTGCAATTCACATCTTTCGCTGTAGGTGCAGTGGCCGAGCTTCTCGCCACCGGCGCAGCTCGGGTCGTACCTCCTTCCGCAACCCTTATATGCGTTAGCCCATTAAACGTGATTGTCCAACCCTTTAAAAAGAGGCTGATATTGGACTTGCGGCAAGTCAACTCATTCCTCTCGGTGCGTCGTTTTCGATACGAAGGACTTACTCGCGTTCCTGATTTGGTGCAAGAAGGCGATTGGCTATTCACCATCGATCTCAAATCTCGGTACCACCACGTCGACATTCACCCCGCCTTTTGGCGGTTTCTCAGATTCTCCCTGCAAGGGCAGGACTACCAATTCCTCTCCTTGCCTTTCGGGCTGGCTACAGCGCCATTTGTGTTTACCCAGTTAATTAAGCAACTCTCCAAACGCTGGCGTAGTCATGGCATCCGCCTTATTCCATACGTCGATGATATCCTATTCATTAGTGCCACTCGAACGGAGGCACTTCACAACCGCTCCATAATCATCGCCGACCTTGCAGCCGCGGGCTTCGTAGTGAATTTCAAAAAATCACAACTCGCGCCGGCACAATCTTTGAAGTTCTTGGGCCTCTTGCTGGACACGCGCACCACCACATTCTCTGTCGATGCGGATCGGCGCGATCGGCTGTTTGCCGAGCTGGATGAATTAGGCACACTCGGTGCTAACAGTCGTCGCATCCCTGTTCGCCGCGTTGCCCGCATCACCGGCATGTTGGCCTCCATGTCCTTGGCACTTGGCACCGTCGCGCGCGCCTTCTCCCACTACCTTCTCGCTCAGATCGCCGAATGCCACTCATGGGGGGCGGCCATTCTCCTAACCCCTGAGTCTGTTGAAGAGCTGCGTTTTTGGCTCACACAGTTTGACATTTTCAACGGCGCCCGCTTCCACAACCCGCATTTGTATGACGTTGTCATGTACGTGGATGCTAGCGACCATGCCTGGGGGGCTTGTTATTCCGCGCCGGATGGTCGTGTCGGCTCGCTCTCCTCCCCGCTGCCTCTAGCCTTCTTGGGCTCGTCCAGTACCCTTCGCGAGTTGGCCGG